TTCCATTATTAAATATTAAAGCGCATAATATTTAATAAGATTTGCCAGACTTTAAAAATAGTCTAGACATTGGACGATAATTGATTTTCTTTGTTTGTGTCATTTCCAGCTCGTCTGCCCAAATTTATTAAGTTAGTTATAACAACGACGAGACGCTGCGCTTGTGCAATATTAATCATGTGAGTTAAATGAGTGTATTTGCGTCACTCAGATCAACAACACTGTACTACAGAAACAGTTTTATTCTACTGCAGCGAGCTGGACTTGTTATATTCAACAGATTTCGCTCCATTGATTTCGCTTTTGTCGCACACAAACAAACTGAAACTCAATACTGATTGATTACATTTCACTTTGTGTCGTCTAGTCAATCTCACAGCTGCTCTCCCATTGCGACAATGGTCAGCATCCCATTAATGATGCATTCAAACTTGTACAGAATCCATCAAGCAAATTAGGTGGTAAACACAACTTTGACAATGTGTATACGCCATTTAATTTAAGAAATTTACATTTATCAGCATATCTGTTAAATGATCTAACGTACTTAACTCAGAGAATAAAGGAGATTAGAGATGCTTGTCATTTTATTCCATGGATACCAGTTTGTTAGGTTACATGATTGATTATATCGGCATTTTGTCATTTGTCTACAAGAGAGTAATATTTTCCAAGCTGCCTTTGGTCTCAAAAGATATATATGTAGATTACTTAGCTTTAGATATTGCCATATAATATATTTTATTAGTGAAAGGGAAACCAGCCACTGTTGAAGGCCTTTCAAATGAGTGCTTCCGTTGTGTTATACTGATAACTATCGACTTCTAGCTGGTAACTTCATCAAGTCCAGAGCGTTTTTTGCTGCTGTCATAATCCTCAAATTCAATTGCCACTGTTCTTGTTCTTCTTGTTGTTGTTTGTGTTTGTGTTTGTATTTGTTGTTTGGATATTGTTGCGCCTGCTGCGGTAAAAGTTGTGTGAAAGTTGTGTGCGGTTTTCAAAGCCCTTGTCGTGATTTGGTTGGTTTGTGAAACCAAATTTTACCGCCAATAGGCAGAAAGTTTAAAGTATTTGGCTTTGAGTGTCTGTAAAGTTTAGTTTTGTTTTTTGTTTTTTTTTTTGCTTTGGTTTTTTGTTCTTCACTGTTTGTTGTCGAACTATTCCTTTAGCACTTGTTAATCCACGGTGGGATAATAAAGCCATGTTAAAATATAATAATGCCTGAAGAGACATCGTAACTTTAGATAGATAGATTATATGAAAGAAATACCCCCTTTCGATAATCTGGTTATGCATCTCTCCAGTTTTAACATTTTATTTTGATAAGTGCTCGGTCTTATTGCTTTTTTCTTAGTTTCCTCAATCCTTGCTATAAATGTTGGACCACTTTATATTTTAAAACCATCAGATTCATTGTATGCCTTTTTTTATTTTATTTATTTATCCTTATAAAATTTTAATTAAATTGTTTTTATTTTTGTATTATTAAGGTTGTAAATTTTGTTCTTATTTTGATTTTTATTTTAAAACTTTTGTTTCTAAAATTACATTTATATTTATAATGAACGTATATTCTTGATTTTATTTTAAAGTGTATGGCTTTTATTATATTTTTTTTTTTTAAATTTAAAATATGAAGTTTATAGCTTGAACTTTAATTTCAAATTTATTTCGAAAATTTATATTTTTTAAAATGATATATGATTTTAAAAAGTAAATCCCTTATTTTATTTGTATTTCAACTTTTAATTCAATTATTCACTAAAAATTTGGGATCACTTATATGTTTCTTTAATTATAATTTGTTTATCTACAATTTCGAATTGTTTTTAGAAAACGTTAAGTAAAACAATAAATAAATGTATGCACATACGTATTTATGTATTAAATTTATTAAAATGATTGTTGGGCTCATTAGCATATTCGATCCAAGCGAAATTCGAATCTTTATTTTTTTCTTCAGCTGTATTCGAATATTGCCGACAGATACTGTCTAAAGGTAAATATTGGCATTGTATTACGGTTTTGTGTTTCTAATAAACAATGTGTGTACGTGCTGTGGGCGTGGCGTATTTATCCATCTACACACTTGCTGCCATTTGAGAGCTTACTTGTTGTTTACGCAGGCTTTGATTGTTTATGCTGTGGCCTGTACCCATTAATTCATTGTCAATACACTGAGATTGCCATTGTAATTTGATTTATAGGCGAAGTACACGCAAAAATAAATTACAAGCTATAAATAGGGGTATTTGCAAAGCTTAAATTACTATCCACCGAATTATCGAAATGTAATCAGCGGATATTATTTAATATGCATATAATTAAAAAAAAGAAGTTAAATACTTAATTCCGCACGAATTATGATTTATTAAAAGCTAACAGTTTTAGCTGGATAACTCAGCAAAAATATAATCGCTAATCGACTTAACGAATTTATATTTTTTATTTTTTTTTATTTATTAAAATGCAGTAGATGATACTATAAATATTTGTGTTGATCCCAGATGCGAACATCATAAATGAATAAATACCTTTCATAATTTACAATCATGTGTCTTGTGCAAAAAATGTTGTTAATTCTTGTAAATATAGTAAATGTATGTTTCTTATAGAGATCTATCCAATTGGGATTACTGATTGGAGAACTTTCATCAAGGAACGTAATTCAGCCGTGTAATCCTTTTATGGGAGAAGTTGTTCAGTCAATTTTCAGAGCAGCCACTTTCACTGCCTGCAAAGTCTAATATGATTAAAAAAATCATTTTGGCAGGTGTCAAGTTCATTGGATATTTGTGTGTTATTGGAACTTTGTGGCTGAAATGTACAGCAACCATTTGATATTCACAATCACTTAATTTGAATAATAAATGAATCAACATATCAATGACACCAAAGGGGCTTTCCATCAGCGCCAAAAATGTGTATGCATGATGTACTCGTATTGTGAGCGCTATCATAAAGCCAACTTGAAGCCCCATAAATGGCTGGAACACGCTTGCATATACAAATCCTTCAGAGAGCTGGTGTAAGCCGTCACCCAGAGACGCACTCTGGTGCATACATTAAAGTATCAATGGCTTATAGGCAAACCGGAACATAAACAGGAAAAGGCGACACACACACACACACACACACGTGGATACAATGCATATGTATGTGTGTGTGTTTGTATTATGTACAAAGCTTACTTATTTGGCCTCAAACACATGTTTAAATTGAAAACCAATGCGCTCGAATTTACGAGCTTAGCGGCTGAAGCTGCCAAAAAGTATTTGAGCCACATTTGCAGTCTCTATCAAACTGTGTGGATGCGAGTAAAAGCCTTGTTAATATTTTAACACATAAATGGAAAACTTTTCCATAAATAATGTTTTCTCTTTGGGGTTTGCTAACTGAACGGACTTACATATACAGATTTGTACGGATGTTACTAAAAGAGTACAAAAAATATATTTATACATTTTCTCGGCTATGTGAGAATTTAAGTGATATTCTTTGTTTCCGCTAAAAATACTACTGATATTTGTTGATACTGATATTATTTGAGACACCAGTCACTAATAAATAATTAATTAATTTAATTCCTTTTAATATATTGACATCGAAACTTGATGATTACAGCTAAAATTTATTCCTTTCCCAGATTATACTTAAAATTAGATATGTTAAAATATATATTTATATAAATTAATTTAATTTTCCTATTTTATCAGTTTAATTTTAAATTGCGTATTAATACTATACAATTATGAGAAGTTGAGTCCACAACCGCATAAATAAAGAAATGCCTTTCATAAACAATACTAATATTAATCAGCTAATTGGTTCGCATAACCTGAAACATGTTCTCGTCGCTTGAGGGCAAACATGTTACGCATTATAATAATTAATTCTTGGAATTTATTTCAAATTGCTCAGAAAGGAATTAATTAGGATTAGGATTAGAATTAATGCGGATGATAGAGAGAGAGATTGCTTATCGGGCTGTTGGTTGGTAATGGATACAAAAAAGCTTTTATCTGAAATACATATTTTATAATAAATATTTATTTTTTGGTTATTTTTGGGAATGAAACGTTTTTTGTGCTTTCGCGAAAGTATCTCAAACTCAGTGAAAAGCTAAGAATTCTGTTAAAATAAAATTTAATAGCAGCACAAATTTTAAATCAGCGATGTCACGTCGAAAGTGCTGTTTAATTTAGTTGAAGTAATTTGCAAATCGTGAGATTTTATTTTTGCTTTACTCAAAGTAACAGGCTAAGAAAATACTCAAAGGAATGTTATGAAATAGTTAAAGAGCCAACTTCAAAGCAACCAAACAGTAGAAAAAGCGTTTGAAAATTGCGCATAGGCAGCGGGTAACGGAAAGTGTCATTGATATGGGAAAATGGATTGCAAGCATTAAAAACACTTTTCCAAGACGAGGCATAATAGCGAATTGATAAATATCACAACAACTGCCATTTTCATGCTGTAAATCCGTGTGAACGCGTATGTATATACATATATACACACATGTGTGTGCGTGGGGGTGTTTTCGTGTGTGTGTGTGTGTGTGTGTCTGCGGTTTAATTTCTGGGGATTTGCGCTGTCGTTGTAACTGGCAAAATAAGCGCCACAGACGCTTACAAATAGACACGCCCAAAAATTGTAGCCTTGTAATTGATGGTATCTGAAATGGTAATTGAAAAGCGTACAAGGATTCAATATAACGACCAACCAAAATTCTTTTATGAGTCGCTTTTATGAGTCGCGTGCTTTATTTTTAATAGCCGGACTATATAATTAAGTACATAAACTACGCTTAAGTGTTTGAAGTTAAGTATATATATTATCAAATTTCGTACACATTTTAATTAGCATGCAATGAAGACATGTATTACTATAAATTTGAAGTCTAAGCTTGGTGGTTATGATTTCAACAGTCTACACACAAAGTAGGCAATTTAAACAAGTCGGTTGCCTTGCCAAATTCAGAGATTACTATTCGAAATTCTTTAGTTTCCGTCACAATGAAGAAATTTATTTGGCCTTTGCTTTGTTTACTCTTCGTATTGTTGCTAACTAGCAATGCCTACAATTCAAGTTAGTATAATCATGCCACTCATTTTATTACAAATATTCAACTATTCTAACCGTCAGAGGAATGCGATGATAAGCCATCTGAGACGGGACCATGCAGGGCATTCTTTCCCATGTGGCGATTCATAAAGGAAACTCGCCAATGTGAGCCTTTTATCTATGGCGGCTGCCAGGGCACACGGAATATGTTTGACGATGAGGAGGAATGTAAGAGAAAGTGTGCCGCTAATAGCACATAGATTTAAGCTACCTGGTGTAAAATTAATTGAAATATTATATAAATAAATGATAATAAATAAAATACATGCAAATTTTTGTATTCATTAAATAAATAATTTTTTGCTGCGACGTTAAATTAAAAATCAAAATTTCTACGTTGCTTATCCTCAGCATTGTTTACATACATATGTAAATGATATATTTAAAAAAAATTTATAATCCCACACAGAAAAAGTTTCGTTGTTAAATTGAATCAATTCTATCGTACTCTCAATAAAAATAAAAGTAATGTATGCTTTATTGATCGCAATCTCTACAATAAATTGCATCCAAAATTGTGTGCTGAAAATGCTTCAACCGACAAAAATAGTTCAAAACCGGTGATTACAGCTTAAATGAATACAATAAAAGTTGTAAAGTGACCACCTGGCAATTCTAGAGCTGGCAAGTTGTAAAATTTACAATTTTATGCCAAGTGCATGTAAGTAATAACTTTATTGTTATTCTATCAATTTATAGTTACATCGTAATAATGTTACAACTTCCAATTGCATAAGTCGAATAAAGCACAATTATTGACTTACATTTATTCAATCACAATTTTGGAAAGTTACAACACTTAAAGTATTTTTGCGTATATTCTTGTAGAAATAAGAGAAATTTCTAAACACTAGCTAGATATCAACTCTAGTTTATGGGGCAACAAAAATTCTAGTTTCTGTCTGTAAAATCGAATCGAATTTCGAAGTTTGGATTTCACTGGTTTTTCATGTAATTTAGTTTTATTTACTTTTTGCATAGTTGGATTGCAATGTTGTCAAAACCACTTTTTCGTCGGTTGAAAATACAACTTCTTCGTGAAGTTCAAATTGAGTTCACAACAAGTTGTGAGCTTCACTGTGTTAGTGGGTTTAAATTCGCTAGAATTTAAGAAAAAAAAAATTAAAAATTATCGCCAGCATTGAAAGAAGATTTTATTAAAAATTGGGGAATTATATTGGATTATAATACCAAATTCTGAAAATGATTTATGTTAATTTTTATATTTTGAATTTAATTTCCCCATCGCCCTGCTAATTTAATTATTCTATTTTCTGTCCCTTTTTACAACTCATCCTGCCTTTTCCATGTTTCCCTTATATTTTTTCGCTATGCCCTTACTTAAACTTGTTAAATCGTGATATCATCTTGTTTAGGTTATCGAACGTAAGGGGGAGATGATGTCCATTAAAATATAATCAAATATGTCACGTCAATTTGCGACAGACGAATAGGGAATATGCTTTGACAGGTTAACCAACGTTGGCCCACAATAACAACTAATTTCCATTTAATGTATTTTTTATGAGCCCAGGCGACGTATACTTAATCAGTGATACCACACACGCAACGAGCGCTGTCCACTTAGCCAATTGAGAGCCAATTTTCGATTCAGTTACCAACCAATACAGTTGCCCCACAAAATGGGCTTGCCACCTCTTCCTGTTCCGCCCCCTCAATTCAATCAGCCATCGCGGTTTTGGGGCAGCTTGAACTCTCTGTTGGTCTCTGTCTTCTGCCTGGGCGTTGATGTGTCTATTTAATATGCAGTGGCAAACACAAATTAAAACTCTGCTCCACACACTGGCACACACATGTACACACACACACACACACACACACACATAGGCACAGACTCGCACACGTAATAACAACGTGACAACAACTAACTGTTATTGTGTTTGTATGTTTGCTGTTATTAGATTTCCCATTGCCGGCAAATTTCACTTGACGCTTGTGGCAAAAGTTACAACACGTGTGTCTTTTGTGTGTGTGAGTGTGTGTGTGAGTGTGTGTGTGTGTGTGTGTGTGTGTGTGAGTGTGTGTGTGTCTATGTGGGGCTGTGTGTTTCTTCCATATAGTTACACACAGACACATACACATATATTGACATTTGCAAGGCGCATTAAGTTCATAACAAATTGATAATGCTTTTAGCTAATATTTGCGGCAAAAGAAAACTACTAATTATTATACATGTGTAAGGATAAATGTATGCTTAATAATTTATTTCATTTGTGTTGTATATATATATATACATATATACTTGTTTATATATGTTTGAAAGTATATTAACTACGTACTAAATATTCTAATAGCTAACGAAAATGAATAAATAATAATTTTCGTGTTTGTGATTTATATCTACCTTAAATACACATAAACTTCAATAAAAGCTTTTAAGGTGCTAGAATGTAATACAACAATTAACTGCAAAATTGAATAGTTTAATGAAGAGAGAGAAGAAAATTAATAATATATGATTTTCGTGCCAATGATTTTATAGGATTTTACAAAAAAATAAAATATTTAATAGCTCAAATTAGGTCTTGAAGCAAATGAGATAGACTTAATAATGATTAACTAAATTAACATGCTCTTTAAAGGCATCACTTGAATGTGGATAAAGCATATATACTAAATATCAATTAGATCTCCAAAATAAATAAATATATAAATAAAACATATTGATTATGTTCAACCATTATGACTAATTTAATTAACTTTTCCTGCCTTTTGGAGATATAACGGCGATGCTGAAAAATCATATAAGCTTATATGTATTCTGAACATCAATTAGATCCCCAAAGTAAATACCCAATAAGCACGAAGGGCAAGTAACAATCATTTTCAATTTTTCTTTGCCCAGAATAGAAAAATAATAATAATTTTGTTCAATTGGTTTTCATATTTATTTTTCATTCCTTTCATTTCGAGCATTGTTTGTGCCAGCCACTTGGGCCGACTTTCAATTTGGTCCATGAAACACCACATCAAATTGCGATCCAGGGACCAAAGCTTCCAAAGCCCCTCTCGTAGGTGCCTGCAATGTTTGTGAATATGTGTGCTTGTGCGTGTGTGTGTGTGTGTGTTCGTGAGTGTTTGTGTTTGTTTGAGTGAGTCCTGTTAGTAAATTGGGCACTTTAAATGGTTGTGCCTACGCCGCACCCATAACGGCTGTTATTTATAGACGCAGGGCGTGGCTGCCTACCATCTCTAATAGCCAAGTAGCTAGCTGAATATATATTTTTGTATGTGCATCTGTATGTGTATATGTGTGAACATGTTCTTTGCTCTGCTGCTGAAGGCTTTTCGGCCAACTTTTTGACTGGCATCAAAGTCGTCAACTAGTATTTGGCCTTAATATGTTTCACCGTAACTCCAAGAATTTAAAAAGAGCGCTCGTGGAACACCTTTTTGCACACGCCTCTTCATGTCTGTATATGACGGTGTATGTGTGTGTGTGTGTGTGTGTGTGTATATATACCTGACACCTGACAGCTTTGTTTGGCTCACCATTTTTGTTTGTGCTCTGAATCTGAAATTAGCTTCCGTTGTGTGGAAAATATTCGCCACACACATTTCACTTGCACAAGAACATCTTTCAGGTCCCTTGATCGCCAACATTGCCCGTCCAACTTGTTTCGGTCCCGATGGCTTTTAATACGTCTGCTTAATACACTCAATAAAATATTTTATTATGCTTCTGCCAGTAACATAAATTAAAATAAAAACGGAAGAAAAAAGTTTTGCAGAAGATTTGCTTCAGGCACTCGCAAGCAACATAAAGCAAAAGGCTTTTCACTCACCAGCATAACAGTATTTATACTCTGTACCCGAGGGAAAAACAGTATATTGATTCTGTCCGAGTATATTACTCACGGAATTGGCTTAGAAACTAAATCAGCTAAGGAGTTAAAAGCATTTAGTAAAACTGCAATCAGTTAGATTCATGTTTTAAAAACACACTGCACTGAAATCAGAGTATTTGACAGTCGTGCACTCCCGAATAAAGCAGATCTGCTGGTTGTATTAGTATTTGTTGGCTGCGCACTTTAATTGGCTGTCCAATTGAGTTTAGTCCTTGCCTTTGAGGCACCTTCATTATACCTGAGGGTATTTTAATTTTCTAAGAAAATTTCACAATTCAAAAGCAATTAAATTCGAAAATAATTAAATTCAATTTCTGACAGAGATAATAATAAAATATATCTGTTATAATAATTGTTCTTTCTCATCTGTAAGACAATAATTTCTACTTGTCTTTAATTTCATTTTGAGGCTTTCAAATGGAGGCTATACTCGTGATGCTGCAGAGTATTTGTCAGTGTCTAAAGGAGACACTTTTAATTTCATTAGCTTTCTAATTTGTATTGTTGTTGTGTGCAATGTAATGAAATTTTTATTGGAGTACAACAAGAAGTTATTTTCCACATTTCAATTGTCTGACGACTGATTTACAGCAACTTTTATTGTATTGAGAATTATATTATTAGAATACTTTAATATTGAAATGTATTTTGACTTTTTTCTTTTATTTTTCTAATTGTAGTTTTCAACAATTTTAAATTAATTTTAAAAATAAAGCATTAAGATTTATTAATTCGAGTCCCACATTTTTTGTCGAGGATATTTGATTTATTGCAATAGCTTTAAATAAAATCAAATTCTTGCCACGCATTACAGTTTACATATTAATTGCTGTGATTAATTATTTTACAATATTAATTTCTCTTCATTGCGTTTGCCCTGCCAACAGATACTCAAAATAAGCAAACGACAAATATATTTTCTAATTGCGCACAAAGGAATCAACTTGGAAATGACCTAAGCTCCTTGGGTGAGTTTTGGAGCTGGTCGAGAAATGACTTTCAACGAGTGAAAGCTATTCGAGCGCATCGGAATAATCGACCGGGAACAAAGTGCTCAACAAATCGTTGAGTTGAAACAAATCTCGATACATTTTAATGTGCCCATTCCGAAAAGCATTACCGAAGCAAGAAATATGAAATGAATTCAGCTTCACAATAGGCGAATGAAAAGAAAAGTTTCTCTCGCTGGCAATAGAGATGGCCGACTTACCTCCTATCTAAAAGAAATATATGACATTTTCCAAACTAATTTATTTTGATTTTTGTTTTATATTAAATTTTTGCTTTCTTATTCTACTGAACATACTTTAGATTTCCATAACTTCTCATCAATATATTGAAAATTAATTCACCTAAGAAGATATCAGCAAATTTATTTGAAACTGAACAT